ATAACCATAGGCGGTAGAAAGAATTATAGAAATTGAGAGCTAAAGAAGCCAAGCAACTTGCATGAAGCCACGCAGCAGGGATTGGTACCCAGTCAGAGTCTAGAACAGGAGTCAGCAAACTTTTTAATAAGAGATCAGATAGTAAGTGTTTTAGGCTTCGTGGGCCATGTGGTCTATGTCACAACTACTCCGCTCTACAGATGTAGCATGAAAACAGCCACAGACATACATAAATGAATGAGTGTGGCTGTATTCCAATAAGACTTGATTTATAAAAGCAGGCGGAAGACTGCATTTGACTCACGGGCCATAGTTTGCCAACCCCTGGTCTAGAGTGCATATTCTTAACCACTCTGCATATATTCTGCATGTTCAGTCAATAATTTTCACCCTAAATAATAGGTGTGGATTATCATATAGTGAAACTTCTTGGAATTGTATGGATGAGAATGGCCTCATTTTTCATCTGATCTGACCCTTGCCTGCTATAGAGAGTCCAGACTGCTGGCATCAGTTGGTTTCACTGGTATTAGCTAAAATCCTAACTCCTCAATTTAAGGTGGTTTTCACTACCCATGCTGCCTTTCTACTCATTTTAATTCCTCCTATTCGAAAGATTTTCTCCAGGGTTTAGAGGTGGAGGATGGTAGGGGAGGGCAAGTAGATAATGAAAACTTTGTCCCGGTCTTCGGGTTTTTGCCTTGGAATGCTCCGTTTGTCCAATACCTTCAGAGTCTTTCTCTTTCTGCCTCCAGGTGACAACTATAGAATCCAGCTTGATAAAGTTTTTCAATCTCTCAACGGGAGGGGTCCTTGGCCTTGTCTCCTGTCTCCAGGTGACACAATATAGACTGTACCTTGCTCTAGAGCTGAACCAGGTGGTGTTTATGAGAACTTTGTGGCTGTATTGAATCCATTCAACATATACTGAACGTCTCCTATGGCTCAGGCACTGTGCTAAAAGCTGGACAAAGGAAATATAGTCCCTGAGCTCACAATGCTTATGGACTAGTTCAGGAAATAGACATTATGTACATAATCACTAAAGGTATCATATAAATTATGCTAAGTGCCACGAAGATGTGCATATTATTTTTAGAAAGAAGAAATGCCTTGCATGCAATAGGTCTTCACAAAATAATGACTCTTTGCATGTAAATACAACAGTAGCCTAGAAGTCATCCTCCTGGCTTTTATTCTTATTCTTATGCCTCTTATTCCGTGGAACTGAAAAAAAATGCTTCAATGTTTGGTTTTCAACATAATTCATACGACTAATCCCTAACATGTCTGTAATCCTAAACGAGGAAAGAATTGCTTTTGCTGACATGTTCTCATTAGATCACAAGGCTCTGATGTACATGACCACCCCACTTTTGCAGATGAGGAAACTTTGTTCAGGTTTGAGGTAGCTTATGTCCTTCAAAACTTCCAGGTTGTTAAAGTGCTGAAAGAAGCAAAAGCCTCCCCATGTGCTGATTTCTGAGCCAGAGACTGAGTGCTGCTCAAGGGTGTGTGGCGCCTCTGGAGTCAGATTCTCAGGATTAGATCCTGGTCCAAACAGGGGTTATTACCTGGTCCATGTCACTTACTTTTTCTGAGCCTTATTTTTCCCATGTATAAAATGGATATAATAATAGTACTGCCTTCTGAGTGCTATTGTGATGATTAAACGAGATTATGTATGTAAAGCCCCTAGCACATGCTAAGTGCTCAGTAAATGCCGGTGACAATTACTGTCGTTGTTATTATTACAACGACAAAACAGCAGAGATCTCAAAATAAATCTTCAGAAACGAGCAGTGCAAACTTGGACAAGTTTCAAAAAAACCCACTGCATTTCTTTATTTGCAAGATGGGCTAAGAACTCTCATGGCTTAGGGTTTCTATGGGGATTAAATGAGAAAATGTATACTCAAAATTTGTGTCCCAACACCTGGCACAGGGTCAACCCTTGGTGAGTGGCAGTTCTTATTATGGAAGCAGGACAGGACCAATCAGTGGAGGCAGGGCTCTGGCCAGAGGTCAGACATTCATCCAGACAGGGTGGGGATCTGGAAAGCCCCAGCGGGGGCTGGAAGGAGGAAGTCTGGGAATGCAGGTGTGTCGGGGTGACCTGGCCACAGGCTCGTGGCTGATGTCCAGGCAGGAAGGAAGAAACAAGGACCCAGCTGCAGAGACTGAACTTTGGGGGCAGGAAAAACGAGAAAAAGAGAAGACTAGAGGTTGGAGAGGAGATAGCCCAGCAGGGCCCAGGCATAGGTGGCCCAGGCATGCACGAGACTTGGGATCAAGGCTGAGCTGATGCTGTTCCACCAGTCGGGCTCCTTACTTCTTTTGATTTGGGAGCTGAGCCACACCTAGAGCCTGCAGGTGGTGGCTGGAGGAATTGGGATGCTGGAACATTCCAGGCCAAGCCAGTGGCTCATCTGGTGGGGGATACAGCATAGCTACTGGCAGATACAGACAGATGGGGTGGTGAGTTGTGATAGAAAAGAACCGAGGAAGCTGGAGACCACCTCACAGTTTTTGACTATAAGGCACTTGTTTTTACTGGAGGTTATGGATCAGGTCTAAGTCTTGGCGGGAGGCAGTGGTCTCTGGAAAACCCTACATGCACAAGGAGTCTTGATAGTGTTGTGTGAGTAGCTGGGTCTCCGTACGTCCTGCCTGCCCCCATGGGTTTTTTCCTGGAGAGAAATACTGATCTCCGCTTGTCCACAGTCATAGTGAGCTCAGAGAGAAAAGGTCCAAGAAGCAAATACCTGCTCTGTGTGTTGGCCTCTCTGTAATAATCCAAATCTTGCTCCCTGGGTGTCAGTAGAAAACAACCAGAGCCTAAGAGTCTCCCAGGACAGAGTATGGTCATAAATAAAAACAGAGCAGGAAATAGGATCAGGATGAGATGTATGGGTCTCGTCTTCATCAACTGTTCCGGTGGGGTGGGGAGAGTGGTGGAGGCCAGGCCTGCAGAACCTGTTAACCTTACTTGAGGTTTGGGGGTACGGAGTGGGCAAGAAAAGGACAGGGCTTCCTATAGTAAAAGAGGCCTGTGGTTATCCTAGCTCAGCAGGGAGTTTGGTGATACCACACACGCCATTGTGTTTGGCTCCTCAGCTCACAGCACAGTTTCAGCAGCAATCTGACATTCTAATACTTGAGAGAGGGTGGTCAGAGCCCGTTGTGCAAGCCAATAAATCTCATGTCAAGAACAGGGAAGTGGGGAAAACCTGAGTTCTTTCTTCTCGGTACTTACAAGGGCCAAATGCCTGGCACTTTCTCCAGAAGGCCAGCAGCTGCCTTGTTGCCAAGATGAGTCAGGGCCTTATTAGTCAAAGGCAACACTTGTTTCCATCACTGTGCTCAAGGGGGCCTGGGGCTGGGTTGCCCATGATGAGATGATAACCACATTTGATGAGGACCTCCTAAGGGTTCACAGACTTGGTTGATGACGATCAGTGTTCCTAGAAGGGTCTGCATGGTTAACCTGGGTGCATCTTAGAAATTCAGGGTCCTGGGGCTGGCCCCGTGGCATAGCGGTTAAGCACGCACGCTCTGCTACTGGCGGCCCGGGTTCGGATCCCGGGTGCGCACCGATGCACCACTTGTCCGGCCATGCTGAGGCCGCGTCCCACATACAGCAACTGGAAGGATGTGCAACTATGACATACAACTATCTACTGGGGCTCTGGGGAGAAAAAGGAGGAGGATTGGCAATAGATGTTAGCTCAGGGCCAGTCTTCCTCAGCAAGAAAGAGGAGGATCGGCATGAATGTTAGCTCAGGGCTGATCTTCCTCACAAAAAAAAAAAAAGAAAAGAAATTCAGGTTCCTGCCTTGCAACCGTGATGATCCTGATTGAGTCAGTCTGCGGTAGCTCTGGGAGTCTGTGTTTTTAATAAGCTCCTCAGGTAATGCTGATGCAGGTGGGCTATGAACCAAGCTTTGAGGAATGTGGGTGTTATGGGACGAGTCCTGGGCTGGGACTCAGGAGAAGGGAGTTCTGGCCTTGAGTCTTCCCCTGATGTGCTGTATAACCTTGTGCAAGTCACTTCCCATCTCTGCGCCTGTTTCCTCTATAAAATAAGGGAGTTGGACTAGGTCAGCGAGTCTCAATCCAAGCTGCACCACAGAGGCACTAGGGGGGAGCTTTGACAACATGCTGGTGCCTGAGCCATGCTCCCAGAGTGTCTCAGGCTAGCATGGCATGTCAACACATTAGGGTGAGTTTGCCTGTGTATATATGTTTAAAAAACTTCCGAGTGATTCCAGTTGCTGCTGGAGTTGAGAACTACTATCTAGATAATGACCAGTGCTCTTTCTTGTTCTAGAATTCTGAATTGTGCACCACTACGTTACCTATGGCCCATTTCTTCATTAATCCTGTGGTGAGGGAAGAGTTTTCTATATAAGACAATTTTCCAGATAATTACAGAGTACTTTATTAAGCACCAACCTTTTAAAACTTTCACCCTTCTTTGATTTTTCTTCTTAAACAAACGTCAAAATCTTTTTGATGATTTAAGTCACTACTATGGTCATTCACTTGTGCATTTATTCAACAAATAGGCATTTGGCATCTACTGTGTGTTAGGTGCTTATGAAAAAAAATGTTATAGTGTAGTTGAAAGATGGATGGACTGTGGGCCAGTAATAATAACAATGATAACTAACATTCAAACATTCACCAAGGGCTTACTCTGTGGTAGGCACTGTTCTAAGCACTCTAGTTCTATTATCTCATTTAATCCTCACAACAACCCTCCAAGGCAGATACAATTATATCCTCATTTTACAGATAGGGAAACCAAGGCACAGAGAGGTTCTGTACTTTCTCAACACAGCTGGTTGAGACTGAGCCAGGATTCAAATCAGGCCCCGACCTCCCTGTGTCATCTGAAACAACGATGTTCCCTCCCAGAACCTCGGTTTCCTCCCGTGCTGAGTGACTCTGAGGCCCCTTTGAACCCTCACACCTTATGAGTGCATCTCCACCCCTAGGTCCCTCAGGAGGTCCCTCACCTGCATCAAGGAGAGCCTGCGTATCTTCATCGACCTGGGGCAGAGAGACAAGGCGGCCGAGGCCTGGCTCGGGGCTGGGCGACTTCACTACCTCATGCAGGAAGATGAGCTGGTGGAGCTGTACCTGCAGGTAGGCCTCCCGCAAGCTCATCTGCTGACTTGGGCCATTTGGAGAGGCAGATGTACCCTTCAAATTGACCAGCTGGAACTAGAGAGAGGTGATGTCCTCGCCAAGCCCTTGGAAGAAGGGTCAACAGGGGCTGCTCCGTGGATGCAAGATGGAAACCAGGATGTGTGGCAAGCTGTATACCGGTGGCAAAGGGCCAGTCCCTGAGACCCATATACTGTACACCTGTGAGCTCTCAAAGACCATGGTGGGAGACTCCGTCACCTGTCTCGTCAAGTATATCCATCTTCCCAAAGCTTGACACACACCTTGACTTCAGGGTTTTGCTGCAATTTGAGGCAAGGTTGAGGTGTGCAGGGTGTTGACATTATTGTTCCTCTATGGTTTTTTTTATTTGCATACCTTTAATGTCTGAGATATGGCATAGCGTAGTGATTAAAGGCCCGGGCTTTGGAGAGAGACAGGCCTGGAATCAAATCACAGGGCCATCGAGAATGAACTGTGTGACCTTGGGCTTGCTTTATGAACTCTCTGGGCCTCAGTTTCTTCATGGATGAACCCTATCTCTTAGGGTAAGGATTAGATATATCACTTGCATGGTAAACACATATGCATAGAAAGCATTTACTAAGTGCTTGGGACTTAGTAAATGCTTAATACATGGTATTTCATCATCATCATCATTATTATTATTACTATTATCTGCACATACTGACATTATGATGGCATATAAGATTTATTCCATCAAAAATGTGCCCATTATCTTTTCTTCCTTCCCATTTCTTATTTTCTCCCTTTTTACACTCCCTTATTCTATTACTTAAATTCGCACAAACTCATCTCTGGAGAGACTTAATAATGTTTGTGTCAGATTGATTGCATGCTTACTATGCACAGGAGACTTTGTGAAAACATCACATGCATGATGTAGTGTAATCCTCATTACAAATGCAGCAGGAGTGTCTATTAAAATCCTCATTTTCCAGATGAGGCTCAGTGAGGCTTAGTGACTTGTCCAAGGTGATACAGCCAGTAAGTGGTGAAAATTGCACACTGGCAGTGTGACTTAAAGCTTTCACTCTCAGCCTCCACACTATTCTGACGCAGGACTTTAGAGCTGGAAGGGTTTTCAGAGACCAGACAGTTCAGACATGACTGTCACTCTCCGGAGACAGAGGCCCAGAGGGAGATGTTCGGGTTGTTCACTGCTTGGCAGCAGAGCCTCCTGACTCCAGGATTCCATCTCACTGCCCCTCTCTCTGTGTAGCTGCCTATGCAATAACAATGGTAGGGTCTTGCCCCAGTGATTCGCTGGCCAGAACTGGTCCCAGGCCCGCCCAACCCCAGACTGCCACCTAACTTGATGTTCCGCAGAGTGTCGTTGCCACTGAAGAGAATCATCTTCACCTAAGGCCTCTACCTGAGGTCCTGTAGCTGTGCTGCAGACGCTGCGGGACATTCTTCCCTCCTCAACTTCCTCATCACGTTTTGGTTAGATGCAATATGAAATAGCTTGCTAGAGATAAGGGGTCATGGGGGCCAGGAGAAGGGTATTGGGCTAGGAAACTAACTACTGATGTGAACTCGGAGACGTTCCTTATCCTTTCTGAGCCACGGTTTCTGCATCTGGAAAGTGCGGGTGTTGCACGACATCACTGTTTTCCAAACTTCGTTCATTTACGCATCAAGTTTGTGGTTTTGCCATATCTATGTACCTTCTATACCATTATTTGCTTATTTTTCTTTGACTCAACTTCAAATCAACTTAGCTTTTTACACTAAACAGTGCTACCTGAAATCACAGGTTTTGATATATTATTAATCTTTTTTTCTGAAACATGTTAAGATAAATACTTAACTATTAAAACATAAATGTTCGTCTGTGTACTGCTAAAAATCATTTCTAGGGCCACCAAAGTAATGTCTCATACCATGATGGGGAAATGCTGGACTAAAGAATCTCGAAGGCTTCTTACCAGCCCTTCAAGTGTGGAGGACAATTCAGGGTTCCGGGGACTTAAGCAGAGGGTTGAACTAGGTGGTCAGATCTCATTCCTGCCTGTCCTGTGGATGTTCAGAAGTCTTTCTCTCCACCTTTGACGGCCATCTCTGTCCCACTCAGGCCGCCATCCAGAAAGCCCTGAGGTCAGAGGAGCCCTCCCTGGCTCTCAAGCTCTACGAAGAGGCAGGTGACGTGTTCTTCAACGGGACCCGCCACAGGCATCGCGCGGTGGAGTATTACCGAGTAAGTCCCGGGCTGTGCAGCGTGCCCAGCCAGGCCCTGGCACAAACGTGGGCAGGACCACATGGCCGGGGGCTCCTTTCCTCTCTCTTGCTGGTATTTCTTTTTCTTCCATTCCTCATCCGGTGCCTACTTGCTCTCCTTCTGTTCAATCTAGCAGGCCCTTAAAGAAGGAGCTAATAAACTCTGTCATTCTCTCCCTCCTGGGAGAACACACCATAATAATTACATCTCTTGGGTACCTAGTACTTTACCGTTTGTAGCACACTTCTACACGTACCAGAATGTTCCCATGTACCACTGGTGGCGTGGTGGGAGATGACTGGTCCACAGATGAACACTTTTGTTCTACTATATTTTTATTTAGTACACATTAAAATATATTTTGAAAAATTAAAAATGTATAACACCAGCTTGTCAAACCCACGATTTCACAGATATTATTGCAAAGATGAGGCAAGATAATAAAAGAGGGTTGATTTAAGAAATAATACTAATTAAATAAATGTCCAGATGTTAAGCAGATTATGTCAAAAAACATAATTGTCATTCATCACTGACTGAAGTTGGAGAAACCTCCATATCTCATTTGATCCTAAAATCTCCCTTATTGAGATATTCATTCATTTGCTTGTTCAGTTGTTTATTCAGTTCTCAACATCTATCAAGGCCCCAATATGTGCCGGGCACTGAGCTAGGGGTGGGGAGAACAAGAAGCACATCGCTGACTATCGAGGTGCTCATTTTCATACGCATTTTATAGATGAGAAAACTAAGGCTCAGAGAAATGATGAGAACTGCCTAAAATTCTATCATAATAAAGAAAATAGAAATAACCATTTATTGAGCACTCTCAGACACGATGTCCATACTCTATATACGTACTTTATAGATTAGCACTATAGGTGCTGGGGGAGCACATAGCAAGGAGGTGTAACTTCCCAGGTGACCTTAAGAAAAGTCATCTTCCCTTTCCCGCTCTCAGTTTCCCCAGTTTTAGGAGGCCGGATGACCTCTAGTGCTTCCACCTCTAAGATCTGGGCAAAGCAACCAAGAGCAAGGACCAGGAGAGCGAGTTGAGCAGAACCATGCATGGAGACAGGGCCAACCCCCTTGGTTTTAATCACTGCCATCCCCCCAAGCCCTGCCGGTGGAACCGAAGCCTCCTTGGAGTATGGTGTGTAGAGATGATTCTTAGCTAGACTAAGGTTCCTTGTGCCTCTGTTCTCAGGCTGGGGCTGTTCCTTTAGCAAGGAGGATGAAGGCGGTGAGAACCGAGCTCCGGATTTTCAACAAGCTGACGGAGCTGCAGATCAGCCTGGAAGGCTATGAGAAGGCTTTAGAATTTGCCACCCTGGCGGCCAGACTCAGCACAGTCGCAGGTAGGGGGTCCTAATTGTCTGGTGCATTGAATGGGGGCAGGTAAACACTCCCCATGGAGGGACAACAAAGCAGTAACAGCATAGGCTCTGCAGTTAGACTGCTTGGGTTCAAGTCCCGGGTCCAGCCATCAGGGAGACCTTGATTAAGCAAGATGCTTACCTTCTATAAGTCTTAAGTTTGCTACTGGCAAATCAGCACCCACCTCATGCAGTTGTTCGAAGACTAATGATTATCCAGGTAAACCCACAGCACAGCGCTTGATAAGCATTATCTGTGCCACACTAATTATTAGATTACAGTTGGTATTATTTCCGAGTACAGGGCAAGTGGTATTTTATCCTATGAATAGGCAATGCCCCCCCGCCCCCCCCTTACAAAAGCACTGTGCCTTAAATTTTTAATTAGTTGGTTATTAGTCAAAAGCACATTTTCTCCATGGAATTGAAATGTAAATGAAGGTCACATTCTTATTAACTCACTACATAGCTGAAATAGCTTGCATTTGCCACAAAAGCTAGTGGGAAACTATATGTCGTTAAAACAGAAAAAAGGCAGAATAAAAAATGATAAAAACCAAACATCATCTTGAGTGATGGTGCACGAAGAAAAGCAGGTTTGATTAGAGGAGGCTTAATTAGATGTACGGGCAAATGGAGTCTTCTGTGATGATCTAGAAGGGACTTCTGGTCATTCTCAATGGCATGAGAAGTAGATGGTACTGAACTTTATTGTGTCTAATTGCACTTCAGAGCTGTCTCGCTCCTTTTCCTACATTTTTTTTCACCACAGAAAACCTTATCTGAGCGACTGTCTCCTAATCTCAGGAGAGGCCTTGAGGGCCCCAGACAGAGCCCTCTCGGAGCACTCTTTATCCTTCCATGGACAAAAGCTGAAAGGAGGCTATATCCACCCTTTCACGTATTTCCTCATGACTGGATTTTTCCATATCAGAGAATTTTCTCTCCCTTGGATTTTCTTTTTTAATTTTGGCTTTTGGCTCTTGAAGCTTAAAAGTGATGTTTTTAGATTGCATCAAACAGCCACCTTGTGAATATTCCAAAACCAAAATTGGAAGCCTTTGTTCTCTTTAAAAGGCCACTTTCTATTAAGGGAGTTAGTTATTGAAACAACACACCCACCAAAAACCAAAACAACAAGTCATAGACCCGTTAGAAACCAAGTTTCTAAAATATGGGTTAAAACTCGACGAGTCTCTGTAATTTTCTGAGACCACGAGCTGAGAAAGGAGCAGAGGGTTCCTGTTGCTGACAGCAGTCCCAGAGAACTCTCTGAGGAGAGAGACTTTTATGCAGAGAAGACATTTGTTATACAGAGTTTTTCATTGTAAGGAATTCTTAGCTACCCTATCAAGCTAGTCTTGTCGCCGTGTCCCATCACAGAGATTTGGAAATAGTGATTTCCCAGAATCCTGAGTTGCAGCGACCTCTGCCATAACGAGAAAGCTCTCTTTGGGAGTCATCCCAGAACACCTTGACCAGCACACATCCTCCAATTAGTCACTCTCCTAGAGCCCTGCATTTTCTTTTGTGGCACTTATCACAACTGTGTCAACCTTAAAAATAAAACAGCTGGTTATTTTACGGGCAAAATGAGTTTATTTAGGAATAGCCGAAGAATCGCAATCCGGGGTGTGCATGCTATGGTGAACCACAGGCAAATCCAACAAACAAGGGAGAGGAATGTAATTTTATAGAGAAAAAGGAGGAAATTAGGAGGGGTTGTTTTGAACAAAAGTCCTTTGGAGAAAAGCAAGAGTTCAGAGCGGGGATGATTTCTCATTGGCTGAGTTGCTGGGGTAGTGGATTTCTGTTGGAATGCAATGTACATTTCTTCCTGTAATAATGATTCTTTCCTTTTGAGACTTTTGTGGGGGTCTGTAATTGACTATCTTTCCCATAATTGACCTCAAGTGGTACTGCGTGGGAGCTCCCCCTTCTGGCCTCTTGACTCCATTTTAAATGAGGCTTCCCCTTATTAATTTTCACAGGTGTAATTTTACCTTTGTTTGTGAGATTATTTAAGGAATATCTGTGTCCTTTGAGACAATAAGCCTCATGAGGGCAGGATCTTTTCTGCTTTGTTCCCTATGTCCCAAGCTTAGTCCCTGACACCTAGCAGACCTTCAAAAAATTGTACAGAATGAATAAGTGAGTGAATGATGCGAAGTGTTGGCTGCAGGATATCTCTCTCAGTCTTCCAATTCCTAGGAGATCAGAGGCAGGAGCTGGTGGCCTTTCACCGTCTGGCTACCGTGTACTATTCCCTGCACATGTATGAGATGGCTGAGGACTGCTACCTGAAGACTCTGTCCCTCTGTCCACCCTGTCTGCAGAGTCCCCAGGAGGCCTTATACTACGCCAAGGTGTATTATCGACTGGGCCAACTCACCTTCTACCAGCTGAAGGTAAGAACCAGGCTTCTAAGGTCGTGTGAGAGCTACCATCCAACCATATTATTCCCTGACCCTGAGCCTTCAGGGTAGAGTTGAGAGGGCCCAGATGGGGAGTCTCCTCTCGTAGGGTGGAGAGTGGCTCCACTGGGGACACAATGGCTCTTTCCACTTAGTCCCATTGGAGACCTCAAAGGGGCTCCTCCTCTGCAGAGGAGACAGACCGTAGCTCCTCTTTGTCTTTGCCCTGCTATGATTTCTGTAGCCACTTTATCTATTGGGTACTATGGGCACATTGCCTAGTGCCTGTGAGCTCCTCAAGGGCCTCTGAAAATATACGAGACTCAAAATAATACATATATAAGACCCCAAAACAGAAGAACTATAAGCTCCAAAATTAAACTCAAACTTAATGCTTAACTCGGTCTACAAAATGTTGTAAATTAAGCAGTAAATTGCAACTCATTTCTTATAAAGTTATATACAACTATATTTGGGAGAAATCTGAGAATATGTCTGAAATAACGAGGTCTTGGGGTCTTCGAATGTAAGCATGCATTGGTCCTAAGAAGGCTTTAGCCCTGATTCTTCTGGTGGCGCTGCTGGAGTTGACTCCAGAACTTCTTATTTTTCCAGCCACTTCTAGAACTCTGCTGGTTTTCTGAAATTCTGTAACAATTCTGGCCCTTGAACCATGTCCCTGGGCATTGACTTCTCCTTCCCAGAGGCCCTGTCTGCTCCACACAACCCTTAATCTCTTAATGCAGTGGCTTCTGAGTCACGCTTGTGTTTGGCCCCCAGGGGACCCTCAGGGCAGCTCTGCTGTCCCCTTCTTATTTGCCAGACGTTTTTTCTGGCCTGAATTAATTATTGACTTAGGAGGGTTAACGGGAACCAGACATCCCTTTTTGAGTCTCACCCAAAAAAGCATCTGTTCCTCACCCCTACACGTAGTGAAGGACTCCCCAGCCATCTTGCCTCTGTCCCACTGCTCCTAGGAAGTGGCTCAGGGACAAGGTGTGTGTGATCTGATTGCATCAACCATGGGCTGTCGGGATTGCAAGGGGAAGAGCTCAACTCGAATTAGCTTAAGCAAAGAAGGCAATTTATTGGCTCAAGTAACTGGGAAGTTCAGGTGTAAATTGAGTTTCAGGTAGTTCTGGATGCTGGTACTCAGATGTTATCATGGATTTCCCCCCTTTCTCTGTATCTCTTGGCTCTGTATGTTTCTACTTCTCTCTGTTTCTTGGCCTCCTTCCCCTCCAGCTATTGGCAGGCTCAAACCCACGTCTACAAGGGTGAGGGACCGTTTTCTCTGCTAGGTCACGCTAAAGGTCCTGGGCAGTGAGTGGGATAGGTTAGCTTGAGTCACTTATACATCCCTGAAGCAGTGTGCCCAGGGCGATGCTGCTTCATGATTATCTGAGCCTGAGTAAGGTGCCACCCTGTGCCTGGGGCGGAGGGCCACTGGGGTTTGCAGCTTCACGGGAGTACAGCGGAATGTGGGAGGAGCTTCCCCAAGGAAGTGGGAGGAGGGAGTGGGAAAGTATGGGCAGACAAAGCTGGAGTTCTCAGAGTTCTGGCACTGCCTCCCAGCCTCTTTTGGAAATGTTTGCTAATGCTGTCTCTTCTTTGCCCCCATGCCATGGGGTTAGGATGCCCACGATGCCACTGAGTACTTCGGGCTGGCCCTGGCAGCAGCGGTCCTGCTGGGTGACGAGGAGCTGCAGGACACCATTAGAAGCAGGCTGGACAGCACCTACCGGAGCCCCCTGTGGCACAGCAGCCCCTCCGGGCGCTCCTCAGAGCGGGCGCGGTGGCTGAGTGGCGGGGGGCTGGCCCTCTGAGGAGAGCTGTCCGGTCTCTGACAATGCCATGACCAGAAGCCGCCTCCCTGCCCTGGGCTCCTAGACACTAACCTGGAGGGTCCGAGGCACCACCTGGCCCAGCCCTCTCATCTTACAGTGGGAGAGCACAGTCCAGAGGGAGCAGGGCTCACTTGGGCCACACAGGGCGTGGATGATGGAGCAGGGATTAGAAGTCCTGGCTTCACGTCTAAAGCCTTTCCTGTGGCCCTTCCACACATACAGACTCTGAAACACACTTTCTCAACACGCAATTCTAGAGAAAATGAGACACCTTGCCCCCGGAAAACCTGTCTCCTTTCCCCGGGGAGGAAATCAGGCATGCCCTGGAGAGAAGGCACGCAGACTGGACTTCCTTCCCTTCACTGACTTTGCTCAGGGAAAGACCCCTCCCCTTGCCAGCAGAGAAACTGGTAGTTTCTTTCTTCTCTCTCTTCAGCCAGGACCAAAGCAGGTGCCACTCCTCCTGCTCCTGGGGGCTGGCAGGCGGGAATTCACCATGCTCTTAGCTCGAAACACATGGCCTCAGAATGGCCAGCTGGAACGCACAGGGTGTGAGGTCTGACATGGATTCAGGATTCACCGTCTCCATCCTGCCCTGAGGTTCTGCTCCCCCATAACCTTCCAGAAACCCTGGGTAACCTTTCCAAGGGCCAAGGCATAAAAATTGGGCACTAAGAAAATTATGACGTAAATTACGTGTGAATAGTGTATATTATTAAATATTGCCCAATTACATTTATACACTCATTTGTTTCCTTTATAATAGGGAGAGATGAGATGGGAGACTTGAAACATGGGTTAAATACCGAGGTGTCCTATTGATTTCAGGGTAGCTCCTTGACAAAGCATCTCTATTATCTGTCACTGCAGAACACACGTAGTGGTTTGAAACATTTATTATCTCACAGTTTTCTAGGAAGGCAGGAATCCAGGTGTGACTTAGCCAGGTCCTCTGGTTCAGGGTGGTTCACAAGTCTATGGTCAAGGCATCAGCTGTGACTGTGGTCTTCTCCGGCTCAGCTAGGGAAGGATCCACTTCCAAGCTCATTCACATCGTTGTTGGTGGGAATCAGTTCCTTGCTGTTGGCCAGAGGCTGCCTAGAGGTCCTTGCCATGTGGACCTCTCCATAGGGCAGCTCACGACGTGGCAGCCTGCTTCATCAGGGCGAGCAAGCGAGAGGAACAAGAGTGAGTGAGAGACAGAGGTCGCTATCTTCTCATCTCACCCAACCCAAGGGACATCCTATTAGTTTTGCCAATTCAATTCATTATAAGTGAGTCACTAGCTCCAGCCCACACAAAAGGGGAGGGAATTACCAAGGGTGTGAATATCAAGAGTCAGGGAATCATTGGGGACTATTTCAGAAGCTGCCTACCACAGTACCTGAGTTCTTGGAAAATGGAATCAGGAATTCTCAAAGGCAGTGAGCTCAAAGTAGGGTCCACTGACTGGACCAGCAGCATCAGTGTCATCTGTTGGACTGTTTGAAATGCAAATTCTGGTGCATTTCAGAGAACTAAGACCTCTGAATCAGAGTCCCTGGAGCCCGGGAGCCCTAACTTTACCCTGCTCTCCAGGTGATTTAATGCACATTAAAGCATGGTTCTCAAAAAAATCACCCGGAGAACTTACTGAAATGAAATTTCTTGTTCCTACCCCAATAATTCTTATTCAGTAGGTCTGGGAGACATCCCAGGAATGTGGATTTTTAACAAGCAACTCCAGTGATCCTGATGTAGGTGTTAACCCTTGCTCTGAAATATGGGAACATACAAGAAGATCTAGCCGTAGGGCTAGCCGCATGATGCCCAGCAGCTTAGAGTTTACTGTCATACTCTCTGCCCTTGATTTCTAGCTTCTTGGACCAAGCAGATGGTTGGTGGGATGGTGCGGTGGGAAGTGGGTGGTGAGTTGAGTCAACATTGCATCTTCTAGTCACCAAGCTTGTCTATACATCAGTACATCTTATTTCCTCTTAGGTGCTTTGTTGTTTGTCAAAACACTCTCTACTCTAGAGAGTATTCTTTTCCAGGAAGAAAATGAAGTAACCTAATCCACCACCACGTAAAATAAGTGTGGTTTTGCTCCCATCACAAACCATAAAATCCGTGAGGGGGAGGGATGCTGTGGATGAGCTAACCTCCGATGCAAGTCCTTTCAACAACATTCCTGGGAGACAGACAGGGGCACATGCGTTCCAGAACACTTATGCATCTTGTATTTGAAGAAGGCTTGCTTGGCCCTGGAACCTATGCCATGACCTGGTCCCCAAATGACTCAGGTTATAGACCCTCTCCCTTTTCCCGCCGACCTATTACTTTCCTCTGGCCAGAGGCCAATTTCTGTTCTCTGACAGTGTGGTTCCCATAATTGCACCAGGCTTTTGGTGTTGGCTGGGGGGTGGAGAGTACAGAGGAATGCTACCGTACTAAATGTAATTTAATATTGTATTTTAATGTTGCATTATGATTTTTTCTTCTTCCTAGCAGCCACTTCTTGCTATTGGCTCACATTGAGCTCATGATCAGTTGAAACATCTTCTCACCTGAGCTTCTGGTTGGTCAGATCTTTCTCAATTGCTACAAATATACATATAAAGAAAGAAAGAAATATATACATATATATTTAAATAAATATATATATTTAAGTGAAGGGCATTATATCTACTCATTTTACATTTCATTGGGAATTTTGGTTAAAATTTTCTGATTCTGTACATTTTGGTTCACCTATAAATCTGGTAAATTTGCCTCTAACCAGGTTAGTTATAAAAATGATCAGCACATTTCCAAAGATAAGGATAGGACTATTTTTTGCTTCTTCTTTTTTTTTTTTTTGTGAGGAAGATCAGCCCTGAGCTAACATCCATGCCAATCCTCCTCTTTTTTTTGCTGAGGAAGACCGGCCCTGAGCTAACATCTATTGCCAATCTTCCTCCTTTTTCCCCTTTTTCTCCCCAAAGCCCCAGTAGATAGTTGTATGTCATAGTTGCACATCCTTCTAGTTGCTGTATGTGGGACGTGGCCTCAGCATGGGCAGAGAAGCGGTGCATCGGTGTGCGCCTGGGATCTGAACCGGGGCTGCCAGTAGCAGAGCACGTGCACTTAACCGCTAAGCCACGGGGCAGGCCCCAGGACTATTTTTTTCTAATGAGAAAAACATTGTGCTCTGTCATTGTAATGACTACAATCTGTATGCAAATTGCCCTGCTAAAATAGTCTTTAAAAGTGTTTAAAAATCCCATTTTAAAAATGTGGTTAACTATTCCCTTTGGAATCGTGTTGATGCTACTTTTTCATGATCCACAGAGAGTGAAGTGGGGATTGGGTCTGTTCTCTATTTAAGCAGGTTTTATTATACGTATATGGTGGCCAAAGAGGTATTAGTTACCCTCTTTATCCTAATCCTCCCCCCAAACTTGCGTGACCTGCCTGACTCCGGCTCCTGGTGTCTGATCTAAATAAAGAACAGGGAGGAAATTACAACATTGTGGAAAACCCTGTAACATGTTTTCTCAGCTTTTAGTTACTTACTTCCCTCTCCAATATTGTTAATACTCTGAAATCCAATATCGCCTTTATCCTTTTCTTATTTGCTCTTCTGTTATTTTAAGATGTCTTTGTATTGTGTCTCTGTGTGCATGTGTGTGTGTGTGTGTGTGTGTATTTGCTTGTGCTTTGTAAGTAAGTAAAATGTAACTCTATTGACAGAAATTTCTGGGGAAGGGAGTATGTAGGGATGGAGGGTTTCAGAATGGAGAGGTAGGGGGGAGAAACCAGATCACCAGGGAGCGGGGAAACCTGGATTTTGATCTTGAATTTGACATTAAATTGCAACGTGATCTTGTGCAAGTTGCTTAACCTCTATACACCTCAGATCTCTGATCTCTAATATAAAAGTGTGATCACCTCTGAGTTCCTTTCCAGCAATGTTATTTCCATACTGTATGAGCAGGAAGAGAGATTTGTATCTGGGAGATGAAATCATATATTTTTATGGTCCAGTTTTATTTTCTTCTTTTTACAGGTAAGTAAACTGAGAAACAGAAGAGTAATTTTCTCCCAGTCACGTGGATAGTTGGTGGCCAAGACAGCAGTGCCCTGTGTCTTGTGACCCAAGGACTTAGCTGCACTAATGACATGGTTTCTCTCATTCAGGGTGACCGTCAGAGTTGCATGCATGTGTATATGCATGCATCTATCACCACACGCACCACCTGAACAGCCACTTACCAAACTTTTTCTAAATTGATTTACTTCCTTTACTCATATAAATTAATTTTATAGAGGATGACTGGTCTATGTAAAACAAAACTTGTATTGCTTTCCATAAATAGGATTTCATAAACAAAAAGAAATACAATGAAAACAAAACAATGCGCTAAATTCAAGCTAGATTCTGTTGCCTTCTGCAAGTGCCTAGCGTAGGCTTCATCTGGCATTATTTGAAAACAGAAAGATTAACAAGTGGCAGGGAGTGTTGAAGACAGACTGACACCTTTGTCATTGAGAAACAGAGAAAGCAACACAGAGGACTGATCTCCCCACAATGAGAGTCAGTGCTAGTTAATGCCATGTCTGGGTGTGCACATCCCACTTCAGGGAAGTGGGGACTTGGTTGTAGGAGAGGGAAAGGGCAAATGATATAATATGAATATGATTCAGGATGAGAAGCACTGTGATGGGAGCTAATTATAGGGTGTTAGGGGAACTCAGAGGAGGGGACTTAACCCAGGCGTGGGAGCAAGGGCATCAGGGAGGGCTTCCTGGAGGAAGTGACATCTAAGCTGAGTCCTGAGAAAGGGATTTACTTAATTCTAACTGCAGGCCAGGGGGTGCGGAGTTGACAGGGCTTGTGTCAAGCAAAGCTCTAGAGGGTAGAGAAGGCCTGGTGTTTTCTGAGAACAGCAGCGAGTTCAGCAAAGCTAGAGCAGAGTCAAGGAGTTAGGGAGGAGAGGTGAGAGAAGAGGCTGGAGAGGGGAGCTGGAGACAGACCCTAAGGGCTTTGGTCTTCACCTTGAGGGTGGGGGGGAGCCATGGAAAGGTTATAAGAAGGAGAGAGAGACGTGGTCAGATTTGTGCTTTGGAAGGATGATTCTGGAAGCAGCATGAGAATAGATTATAGGGCAGCAGGAAGGAAGGTGGGAGACCATTGGGACCTGGTTATTGCAACAACACACTGCAGCCTTTACTTGATCTCGCCACTTTCCCCACTAGAGTCCTTTTTGTGATCCAGGATTCAGCCAGGGCACCACACTGCATTTAGTTGTCACATTTCCCTAGACATCTCTGGTCTGTGGTAGTTTCTTAATCTTCTCTTGTTTTTCATGACCTTGAGCATTTTGATCTCCCTCCCTTTTGATAATTGCTCTCATTAGAGCAATTGGAAGGGGAAGGGAGGAAGGAGAAATTGAAGGGGATGGGCGCTGCATTCACTCAGGCGGCAGTTCTGAGTTGGGGCAACGGAGTCAGGCATACCTGGGTTAGAATCTGTCTCTTACTAGCTGTGTGACCTTCAGCAAATT